CATATGCATTTTAGGCACACCTAAGAGCATTGTATTCATAACATCGCATATATGCATATCTTTTCAGGTTTTATCTAGAGCCAATTTCAACTTCGCAGTGAAGGATATTGGACTCAAAAAATGACATAATTTGCTCGAGAGAATATTTCAACTTCACGACGAAGGATATTTAGCTCGAAGCCAAACTTTACAATAAAGGGGTCATCCACGTTTTCAACTTCATGGCGAAGGGAATCGTGTCCACCCGCAACATACAATACTTGGATTTTAACTTCACGACGAATGATATTCAAGTCAAGGCTCAACTTTACGACGATGGGATCATCCACGATTTCAACTCCACGACGGAGGATATCGTACCCACACATCCACGATTTCAACTCCACAACGGAGGATATCGTACCCACACATCCACGATTTTAACTCCACGACGGAGGATATCGTGCCATTAGGGGCTCAACTTCACAACGAAGGGGCGGCTGACTGTCAACAAACAGTTTCCAAATTTCAGAGCCAATTTCAACTTCACGGCGAAGGATATTGGACTCAAGACAACACAAGCTCAACTTCACAGCGAAGGGGCGGATGACTGTCAATAAATAACTTCTTCAGTTTCATTCAGAGTCAATTTCAACTTCACAACGAATGATATTAGACTCGAGACAACACAAGCTCAACTTCACAACGAAGGGACGGCTGACTGTCAACAAGTAATTTCCCAGTTTCAGAGCCAATTTCAACTTCACGATAGAGGATATTGGACTCAAAACAATACAACTTGCTTGGATTTTAACTTCACGAAGAAGGATATCCAATTACCAGGCTCAACTTCGCGACAAAGCGGCCACCCGCGATTTCAACTTCACAACGAAGGGAACCGTGCACACAAGCAGGATCCATCTCTAGATTGGATTTCAACTTCACGACGAAGGATATTCAACTCGAAGAATGAGTGTTTGTCAATAAACTTTCCAGTTTCAGAGTCAATTTCAACTTCACAGCGAAGGATATTGGCCTCGAAACAACGCAACTCACATTGGATTTCAACTTCACGACGAAGGATATCCAATTCCAAGGCTCAACTTCATGACGAATGGACCATATACAATTTCAACTTCACAACAAAGGGTATTGTACCTCAACAGGTTGACCCAACTTCACGACGAATGAGTCATCTGTAACACAACACCACCAAAACCTTCGGGTCAAGCTTCAGCTTCACAGTATCTTGAGCTAGAAGGCGGTTCAGAGGATACTTGCCAAGGGTTTTTTTAGTTCAATTTCAACTTCACGACGAAGGATTTCGTGCTCAAAAGTTTCCAGTTCAACTCGACCTCACGACGAGGGAGTCATTCTATATTTCATTTTAAATTGACAAACCAGTTTCAATATCAGATTTTAACTCTACGACAGAGAGTATTCGATATGGCCGAAATTGGCGTCTTTTAATCTTTGCTCTATTTCTCTTATACGATAATGAGCAAAGAGGGACAGCTGTAGATGCCCTATTTCGACCGTGTCATATAATGAGAATATATTATATAATAATATATCATTCATATTTTTCTCTTTGTATTTTACAGGCCCAACAAATGAAACACGTGGCCCATACTCAATAGCAACACGCACAGCAGCAGAACCCTAGAGCTCCATCAGCGCCGTACTTCACCCCTGAAGGCTCTCCAAGCACCGCACGCCTCTCCCACAACCACAACTGCCCAAGATTCTTGGCAACCACCAACATCACGCACGGATCTCGCACCAACAAACAACAAAGATAGAGTTCTATTAGGAATCAAATACTAGAATCTTGGGCTATAAATAGTCGATGTAATCGAACACATGGGTAGACAGAGATTACTAGGAACACACACACATAAAGTCACAATAGCAAACACAAAGAAGGTTCAAGCACTTGTAGAGATTTTCGAAAAAGAGAATAAAAAGGTAGCATTTTTTTACCTTTGTTCGTTCGTGCTTCATCGTTGCATGTTCAATATTGCTTGAGATTTGGCTTTGAAACCGCAAGGGAAAATGTTTTGGCCGATGAACGGGGCATTTTTGAGATTTACTTTCGTAGATCTAGCCCCGAGACCGACTTGTTTTAAGGAAACGTCTTGATTTTTGCAGAGGGGAAACGAAAAGTTTTTTTTTTTGAAAAACAAAAAAATAATTTTTGCCTCAGATGAACGGCGGCCGGCATCGTTCAACGACGGCGGCGAGGTGGCGCACGGTGGCCAACAACCGGAATCTGGAAACCCATGGTTGTGTTCATCCTTTAGGATGAACATTTTGTGAGAAAATGTTTTTAGGGGGCTCTCGTGTGAAGAGATGAGAAATGAGCATTTTTGGAAAAAAAAAATTAAGTTTTATACTTGGTCCATGGATCGTAATGGTGACCCGCGCGTCGACCCAGACCCGGGAAGGATTCACGTGTTTTCGTCAAAAGGGGTAAACTTCACTTTTCGTCCCTCCTATTTTAAAACGCCCCCTTTTGACCCCCAAAATCGATTTTTCAAACTCCAATTCCCTTTTAATTTGGCCACTCTATTTACCTTTCCTTTCAATTTAACCCTTCTTTCGTTTCAAGATCTGAATTTTATTTTAAATTGGCCCTTGAATTTATTTTTTCTTTCGATTTAATCCTTTTTATTACTTTTTTTAAATACCTATTATTACCATTATTTTATTTACCTTGTTTATAAGTCATTATATATATATATATTTATAACTTATTTTTTTACTATTTACGTATATAAATATATTATTTATTTATTCCTTTTTATTACTATTAACGTATATATATATATATATATTCTTTTTTTTAATTTTTTTTACTTGGTTTTCCTCATGTTTAATTATATATATATATATTCTTTGTTTCTTTTAATTATTAAATATTATATTAGGGGGCCTTTTTTGTTTGGTTTCAACTAAAGTCCCCTCCAATTTTCGGTGAAGTGATGGGGGTAGTTTTCTTTTTTTAAATATTTATATATATATATATATATATATATATATATATATATATGTATATAGTTTATATGTTTTATTAGTATTTTGATGTATATATATATATATTTTCCTTTTCAAATAGTATTAAATGTACATATATTTCTTTACTTTTTTTCCTCATCTTATTTATTTATGTATTTTTCTTCTCTTTATTTTTTTATTTCCTTTATCTTTGATTTATTTATTTATATTTATTTATTTATTTATTTATTTATATAGTGTCTTTGCTCTTTTTTATCTCGTTTTATTCTTTTTCCCTTTATTTTATTTACTTTATATTATTTGTTTTCTTTACTCTAACACATTCACTTTTAAAGGGTACAATTTTTAAATCAATCTACGGTAAGTAGTTTGGATCGTCATTTTTTACCTTTTAATTTAAATTACGATTTTCTTAATTTAAGACAACTGGAAATTACGTAGTACCAAAAGGGCAGCTCAAGGGTGCTAACCCTTCCTTGACTGTAACCGACTCCCGAATCCGACATATCACTGGTAAGTCGCAGATCAGGTAAAAGATAAAATATCCAGTCAACCCATTTTTTTTAAAATAAAAGATCGGTAGCGACTCCAATGCATTTAATCAAAGTCGAAGCTCAATTTCGGGCCCAACTGAAAGACGATTCCGACATATTTACGATGGAATTGATTCTTTTAACATTATTTATTTATTTCAAATTTTAAAACGATCAGTTTTAATTTTTAATTTTGATATTAAATAATGGCATCACTTGCTTGACCATACTTTTAGGACAAATAAAGAGTGTTACATGGTGAGCTTGCCCTAGAGCTCTAAAGATGAAGATGTTCTTTATCACAATATTAACTCCGATGAAAAGTTTGGTATAGAAAATTGAAGTCTTTGGTGGAGGTTTTAACCTTGGAAATTGAGGAAGGATAGGTTATATGAAAGAGGAGGAAGTAGAAAGCAAAGAGAGAAGCTCATGCAATTAAATGTCTCAACTTGCGGTTAAGTCAAACATTAGGATATATAAACTTGAAATTCATTAAACAATGGTAGCATTGAATTTATGACAAGCTCAACTCAGGTAGCCTAATTTTCCTATTGCCTTGTAATGCTAAAATGTGTCAACGTCCCATTACCAATGCAAATATCCTCCCTGCTTTTGCAACAAAGTTCTCAAGTGAAAACAAAACAGACCACCTCATTCTTTCATTCATTCTTTAGACATACTTACACATGAAAAGGGTAAATAGTTCATTGCCAGAACTATAATTATTCTTATTTTTGGAGGCTTCCATGTAATCCTTCAGAAATACGGAAAGATTGGCTTCACCAATCAAAACAATATATATATATATATATATATATATATATATATATATATTAGGTTCATGATATACAGATAAGCTTCATCAAAATTAAATATTATAAAATCAAGGCTCCCAAATTGACAGAAAACTCGACTTTTCTCTTTAATTGAAGGGATCTTTTCATTAAACATAAACCACCTATTTGGATGTGTCCACGTACAAGTATAATAGTAATAAAAATTAAGGACCAACGGGGTTGGTTCAAGTGATAAGCAACCTTGTACTGTTTAAGTAGATATCAAGTTTGAGTTCTTGTATATGAAGAAAATCTCCGCCGAAAGATTCGTCCACCAAAATTAGATATGCGACGCAAATCAGACCGGATTAATCAGGCAAAGTCCTAAAACCGGGAGAGCAAAAATAAATAAAAATCAGGGAAGATTATTTTCATACACTGACCACTCACCTAATATGCAGACGTTTCCGAACACAACGTTTCACTAAAGACTCTTACGTAGCTTTCAAACTGTATAAACTATAAACTTGATATCATCTGTTGGATTTGGTCAGTCTAATTATATGGGAAACTTGGAATAGAATCTTATTATTTTTCTACATTGCCGGCCCTTTGTTCAATTATATAATCATATTGGACCATGAAAATCTAATCATATTGGACTATTGAATCTTGAGGGCTCCCTTCGTAAGCAATGAAGTACCAACTTTTACTGGCTAAACGTTATTTCAAGCTTAAATTTTCTTGTGTTATACCTTATTTCCAGCTATGTCGACTAAAGAAACCTTCCAAGTTGCCGCGGACTTCAGTTCCGGTAATTCAACAGTGCTTTTCTATAATGAGTCATACGGCATCGGGCTATTCGGACCTAAGCTTCCCCGCACCGCCGCCGTCGACGCCGGATTTCTCTTTTGTCAAACACCATTTGTCACCAAAGATAGCTTCAGTTGACTGCGGCTGCCGAGCAAGATCATACAGAACTCAATATATATCCCCGGACGTTAGTTTTGAGTCAACTCGGTTGCAGAAGACGGAAAAAGCTCAGAGTTCTAAACTTCAATGGAGAACATATGAAGCATCGGCTTCTGATGAGACTAATGGGAAGCACAAAGTCAATAGCAAGGAAAAGAAGAAGGTGAAAGTAAAGGCGATGGCGACTGTGTCGTCAACTGAGAGTGGATGTTTTAGTAGCGAATTAGGTGGCGAAGATGAAGAGACTGAAATCCTAATTTCTAATTCAAGAAGCTTCTCTGACGGTTCATCTTTTGAGTTGAATCAATCGTTGGCCGAGGAAGACTCTCCCACGGAAATCAAGAGGAACAAGAAAAAAGTTAACGGTAAGAAGATGAAGAGACTAGGAAGCTTTGGTTCAAAGAAATACGAAGGATCGTTAGCAGAGAACACTGAAACTCCATGGAGAGGTTCGATTCTGAAAAAGACGATGATGATACCGCCGTGCAAGGCGGAAGAGAAGGTGGCGGAGAGCGTTGCGGTGGTGAAGAAATCGGAAGATCCTTATGAAGACTTCAAGAGGTCGATGCTGGAAATGATAATGGAGAAACATATGTTTGAAGCAAGAGATTTGGAGCAACTTTTGCAGTGTTTTCTTTCTTTGAATTCAAAGCAACATCATCGGACCATTGTGGATGCTTTCACTGAGATTTGGGAAGCTTTGTTCTGTGATTACGCCATGAATGTCCAGTGAGAGAAATAAGCAATTGAAGCTTGCTTACCACTAGTTTGGAGCTGGTGAGGACTAAGACCTAATTTCTCATGATAATTAACGATTCATTACCGAATTCTGATAATTTTATGTTTGATCTTTAAAGAGTTTGATTGAATTTCTCAAGTCACGTGATCAAGATCAAAGATAAATGAAACAGGCAACCTACATGGAAGAAAGTATATTATATTCTGTCATTGCTTTTCTTTTTAAATATTATACTGCGCCCTTCAAAATTATATATATATTAGAGGGTGGAGAGCAATTAATTAATGTAATTTTTTATTTATGAATTGTTCAAAACCTGAAATAAAATACTTTCGTTAGTATCAAATTTAAAATATTCCATATTCATAAAAAGTTTAATACTTTAAAATAAGTTAAAAAATCAAATAAGATTATACATTCATGTTCGACATTATTTTAAATCAAATAATATGTTTAATAAAAAAATAAATAATATTTTAATTATGTATATAAGAATACTCATAAAATTATATTATCTGTAATTTTATATTCATATATTCTAACATTAATTCATGTATGACATTATTTCTTAGGTACTTTTAATATATATATTACTACAAAATAAACTAATTGATACGGACGCCAAGGTTCAAGAATGTGGTTAAAATGTTGAGCATTATTATACCATTAACTAAGGATACTTATACAAATTTAATTCAAAAGTTTTACTTCAAGTCGACAGAAGAGAACTATCTTATTATTATTATTATTATTATTATTATTATTATTATTATTATTATTATTATTATTATATCCACTATGAACGCGGGCGCTCACACATTTATATCTCTTTCATTTGCATTTTTCAAAGACTAAATCCACAAGGGACAAGCATCACTACTTCAATAGAAACCAGCAAAATAAATTTCATTCTATGAGGTTTCCCCAAACCTGTAAAAAAACCTAAAGGAAAGACGAAACAAATCTGTCAACCACAGAAAAAAGCTGAATGTATCTACAAAGTATTGATTTTGATTCTAAAAACAACCTAATTTCCCTATCAATTCAACCAGGGAATCTGAGCATCGACTTACTAATATAAAACAAAGAACAATTGCAGATGAAAAATGTAACTCTTCCAACAGTTGGTTTAAGATACTCTCCTATATGTTCTTCGATATCTGACTGTGATAAACTGGAAGGCCAACCGTTGGTTTAACACTGAGCCTTCCCGCTTCCAAGAGTGAGCTCAAGATCATCCAATCCTACTTCATGGATCCTCTCTCCTTCCCATGGCTTCACCTGTCCACTCTCAAACTGAAACTCCAAACCATGCCCTTTCTCTTTGATCAAATCATTGGGCAAACTTTGTGGAACAAAGGGTTTCACCAGGTTAAATGTGGGAGAAGTTGGCATTTGAGATGTAGAAGGTGCAAACTTTTGAAAGCTTATCCATTGACTGGGTTCAACTGTCGACATATCAGACTCGTCGCATTCAGGTATAGTAGCTGGGGATTGAAAATGACGGTGAGTTGGACTAGCCGGAGCAGAGACTGCATACAAAGGGTAGTTAAAAGAGGCCATGGGCTCTTTGGCAATGGCCTCCCAGTTTGAAATTGGCTTGGGATTTCTTGAAGTTGGAGACGAAAGGGGTGGTGTTACCGGGGCACTGTTTGAGATTCGGAGAGGTGGCAGAGATGAAGGAATGGCGCTTCGAAGGAACAGGAGGAGACTAGATGGGTTATTAACATCTAGCCTAGGGAAAGAAGAGGAGGAAGGACTGACTTGACATGAAGGAATTGGGCTTGGAAATGCAGATGACAATGGACTCGGATTTTGGGAGGAAAATGGGGTAACTTTAGCTGAACTACCTAGTATATCAACTGAAGCCGGTGGTGGCTTACATCTCTTAACAACAAATGCAATTAAAAACAAAAAATTATCAGCATTACTTGCTTCTATCCATCAAGAGCCAAGAGAATTACACAGGAAACAATGAAAATGAACTGTTAAAAAAAAGAATGAATTAGACAATTAATACCAAGCTAATCAACAAAAATTGTTCAATGTTCATCAATGTTTCATTTCAGCTATTTAATGTAGTTCCAGTTCTAACACAGATCAATGAATGATTGTCTATTTCACAACTGGTAGTTTGAAGAACAACGACTTCCATTTTTTACCCAATATTTAACGTTTCATCAATATTTCATTTCTGTTATTTAATAAAGTTGCAGTTCCAACACAGATCAATGAATGATTCTCCCTAATTAACAACTGCTAGTTCTAGAACAATAACTTCCAATCACCCAAGTAAATAAACGCAAAACCAGAATCAAATTTGAACAGATAAAAAAGACCCAGAGAGCAAAATCAACCTAAAAAGCAAATTGGAACTAGATCAAAGTAAATTTGAACAAAAAATTTAATAGATCTACAAATGGGTAAGTAGTGAAAAAAAGAGGGAGCAAATGGTAAATTAAATACCTTTCGATAAGTGGGCCATCTTCTTCAACAACCCAACCAGCCTCGGCACAAAGGGCTTTGAGAACTTCATTGTTATCACAGTGGTTGGGTAGATTGTAATTCCCTTGAGCTCTAAGCCCAGTATATATCTTAGCAGCCATAGCTCTTCTCCTCCTCTCTCTCCTCCTGTTATTCTCTCTCTTCTTCAACGACGGTTTCCTCCTAGCCGCCAGCGGCGTCGACGTCGCCCCATCTAACGTCATCTCTCAGATTTTACAGAACAGATGTGAAGAGGGTGCGTTGGCTCACGAGGAATACGCTTTTCCTTTGCTGGAGAAAACACGTTGAAAAGAAAGAATCTCACGGTGTTTAAGACCCAAACGACGAAAATGATAGTTAGAAGAAAAAAGGTTAAACTTTCCTCGCCACCAAACTATAGTACATTTTCATTTCAGCTATTATTTTTAAATTCTTATTAATTAGACCGCCTAATTATTTAAATATATTCAATTAGACCCTTACTGTAATAATTAATTATAATAATAAAATTGATATAATTATATATTTGATCTTCAATATTTATACATTTGTCCTAATTTTAATTCAATTTAATAAATTTAATCTCCAATTATATATGACATGTGTCACTATCATACTGGATGAAATTTTATTAATTTTAATTATTTTATATCCAATTAAAACAAAACATTCTAAAGAAATAAACTTGCAATTGTGGGGGTTTTGATCTAGTGACCTACTACTCCACCAAAAATACCTAAGCCACTAGGCTAAAGCTCTAAATAAGAAAATGTTTGCAACATTTATATATAACTTATTATAACTAGTAGAGAAAAAAGGTAAATTGACATACTTATAGAGGGATTTAAATTTGTAGTCCTGTAAACGAACTAAACGCACACGAACGGAGGTATGTCCATGTTCGTTCATTTAATAAATAAACGAATAATTTTTTTTTATTCATGTTCGTTCATTAAGGAATATAGTTTGTTCATGTTCGTTCATTTAAATGATAAACGAACATAAACGAACAACACAAACACCAAAAACAAACTTATTCGAACACACAAATGAATGTAAAAAAAAGTAAACAACAAGAATAACAACTTAAAATTCATTAACATAACCTGAAACTTTAGAATTAATTTGTTCGAATACGAAAAAAACATACATAAATCATAAATAAGCTATATGAACATAATAAAATCTTAAAGTTTATTTGTTCAACAAAACAATCTTCTTGAAATCCAAACAACTTCAATAATCTTCGTAACATATTCAACTTGCCCTCTGTTCGAACATAAATGAACATAAATGAACGAACATATAATTGAACGTTCACGAACGTAAATGAACGAACGAGCCATTTGTTCATATTTGTTCATTTAATTAAACGAACGCAAAATCTTGTTCACGTTCGTTCATTTAATAAATAAACGAACTTCCCGCCTCACGGTTCATGAACGGTTCGCTGAACGTTCAGTTCATTTACAGGCCTACAAATTTGGAAATCCAAAAGGGATTGCAAGCAGCTTAGCCATTAAATCAAATTTTATATTCAACTAAAACTTATAATATATTGTATATAATCATTAAATTAATTTAAAAAAATAAAAAGTAAAATTAAGATTTTTATATTTTTAAACTATATTTATTATTATATAGTTTCTTAATATATAATCACTAAATTAACTTTTTAATAGAATTAATAAATTTAATGATTATATATAAAGAATTGATATATATATAAAGATTATTAATTATGTTAAAAAATTAATATTATATTTTGGTTATATAAAAATAAATATAATTTAAAATCTAAATTCAAGATTTGGTGAAACTAGTTTTTACAATTATTTTAAAAATATTAAATTTATTTTTATACATCTTGAATTTAATTTTAAAATATTAAATTTATTATTATTTTGAATCTTATATTAAATATATATATAATGTATATATTTATAATACATTAATTAAATTTGCTTAAATAGTTTTGGTATTTATATATTCCCTAAAAATTCAAGGTTTGATTTATTTTATTATTTTCATTATAATATGATATGTTGTATAATATAAATCAAATATGACTGTTGATGTAGTGGTAGGAGTGCTCTCAAAAATTGTTGAAGACCTAGTTTGATTCCTCTTAATTGCATTCTTTCCTTTAAATTTGTTTTCTTGTCTTTTGCTGAAAACATAATATATGTAATTGTAACACCCCAATATGTGGTTAGATTTCTTAAGTTTAAAATATGGAAAATGAATAACCACAAGTGGGAAGAGTTGTTCAACCACTGCAATTATTATTATTTTTATAATATATAAAATGAAGAACCACATGTTTGAAAGATATATTTTTTTTGGGATGACTTGGTTTAAAATCAAAGGAGTTTGAAGCAATCTGACTGATCTCACACCTATAAATAAATTCCTTTAATGGTTCGACTTTGGTATATTCCACTATGGGAATGAAGTGCATAGGATGGAGTATGGCTTTGGAGCACATGAGTACCTCACAAGTGGGGTGTTCGAAGTTGAACCAAGAAGTTGTCATGGTTTCATCTTCAGACGATCGATATTGTTGGGCAGCACCGACATGTCTCGTTCAGAATTTCGGTTATTATGGAACATCTTTCGGATAAATACCACGGGGACACATATCATTTGATTGTTAAGAATTGCAACCATTTCACTGACGACGTGTGCATGCAACTAATTGGAAAACA